CAAGACCGCCGTCTTGCTGACTGGTGCCGCAGTCGACTCCATGGGCTGGAGAGGGCACGGCGTGTTCATGTACAAGCGAACTGGCACGCCCCCGATGTTCACGAGCAGCCACGCCGCCTGGTTAATCTGCATCAGCTTCGTGACCATGGCAGCGCTCTTCTCGTGACTGGCGAGCAGACACTGGCAGGCGCTTGTCCCAACTCGTCACGGTGATGCCTTTCGTAACAGGCACCCGCTGAACGATACTGCGCTCGAGAACAAAGACAGGCTGGTCCGAAGTAACATTCACATTGTCGCCCAACTCCATCGCTACCCGCGTTGCCCACGAGGGTGGGCGGCCTCCACGAACAGATGGCCCGGCATCCCGCTGCGGTGCTGCAAGGGCCTCCTCAAGCCAGCAGCGCACCCCCCGCGCGCGCGGGGCCCTGATCTCTCGGCTCAGCAGCGAGGCTCGATTGGGCTGCCACCGCAGCCCACGGATCGCCTGGCACAACGACTTCATCGGAGGTCCCTGGATCAATCGGCTCTGCCGCCACGGCGGCCCATGACATAACTAGCGCTAGCAAGCGCATCCTGCCCAAAAAACATGGAAGGCCGCGCCTCCCGCAGTCGAGCGACTCGAGCCAAAAGGCGCGCAGAGGCGGAGGACATGGATGGAGGGCGGTTTCGGGCGAGGTGGGGCGCCCCTAGGATAACGGTTGCGCAACGTGGCCTTGGGTTGCTTGCTTTGGGGGGCGGGGGTCATCAGTGCGCCCGCCGCTGCCAGACGCTGTCGCGGGAAATCCCACCAGCCCTGCACGGCGTAGGATGTCAAAATGCGTTTCTCTCCCAGCTCCAATTCTTGCCCTTCAGGCAGGGGTTTACCCCTCCCCCTGCCCTTCCCCTGGACCTGGACGGAGGGGAAGGGCGGCGAGCGGTAAGAGGGTTCAAGATCGACCCCCTGGGCATTTAAAATCTGGCACCTCTCACGCGGATCGCTGCCCCCAGGGGGATGGGATGTAGGACCCCTCTCCTATATTATATGCTCCCCGAGGTGGTTCCAAGAGACGTTTTGGACCCTCCTCTTGGGCCCCGCGAGCAGGCGGGCGGGCGCAACCTGCTCGCGCGCGCCTCTCCGAGGCCGCCCCCAGAGACCGCCAAGATGCCCATCAGACACCCCAAGGGTCCTCAGATGACCCCACAAGAAACACCCCAAGACACTTCGAGAAGAATACGGCCCTGTCAGCCCTCATCCTTTTCTCGTTCCTCCTTCGTCTCCTCCCCCAGTGCCAGCATGCCGCTCCTCCCTCCTCCCTCCTCTTTCCGACCCCGTCCTTCACCGCAGCATTATCCGATTCACTCCTCCTCATTATCTTGCTTTTCTCCCCCTCTCCTCCCCCTCCCCCTCCTCATCATCATATTCCTCCTCGCCCTCCTGTTCCTCATCCGCCTCCTACCCTCCCTCATGCTCCTCCACTTGCTCCCCTCTCCTCTTATCCCGCATCTCGTCATATTCCTCCTCGCGGCGTCGTTCGCCCTCTTGTTCTTGGCATGCCCCCACGCTTCCCTGATTAATTTTTTCAAATCCCCATAAGCATCGTTTCTGGATGGGCTGGTGGGGATGCGACAAGCGACAACAATACGGAACGTGGCGTACCTGGGGGGATGGGCATTCCTGGGGAGAGGGGGCGTCTTCGGCGTGGCGCAAAATTTCACCATGGCGAACGAGTCGGGTTTCACGGCAAGGCGGAGTTTCGAGACGAACCAAGCTGGGGCTGCAAACTACTTTCTGTCGAAGAACCACTGCCAGACAACATAAGGAAAGTTGTCGGGCGAAACGAGGTTTCGCTCGGCCCTTGGATTCGATCGGGACGCGTGGCGCTGCACCTCAATATGTTGGGGTTCCCCCCCTCTCCTTCCACGCTTATCCCCTCCCCCGCGTTCACTGACCACCCCTCTTCAACTCCTCAACCCGAGGCCTTCTCTCCCTCCCGACTCCCAGCTCTGTCCGCCCCTCCTCCCACTTTGAAGATGCTGCAATTCGATTTGCGCACCCCACCGCCCACGCCCCTTAAACCCTCATGTTTTCGTCGCGTCGAAACTTCTCTCGCGCAATTGAACTGCCAGTTTCGAGCGCCCCCCGCAAACCCCGCAGAAAGGGGCATAAGGCATACGTCAATGAACGTTGGCTTCTATTGCTGCGTACCGCGGTTGGGAAATGGTGGCCCCTTTTACTTGCGGCGCTTTGATAAAGAGCCAATGCCAGATTTCAGAAGACACGGGCACGCCAACGCTAATGAGGAACGCGAGCGCGGCAAGCGAAAGGGCCGATGTGGCAACGGCGGTTAGAGCAACAGCGCAGCGAGGCCGAATCTCGAGACGATTGCGACCGACAGACTTACTTTGCGGCATCGTTCCGTCGCGCCAGGGCCCCAACACTTAATTTCAGCGGATGGTGCGAGCGCCCCCAGTGTTATTTTCAACGATCCACGCAAACTTATTTCCAACCTACTTTCCACCTATTCCTGACTTTCCTTCGTGGGAGCCCCTTAGCAGGGGCTCCGCCATCATGATGCAAGACCGAACCCCGTCGCAAAGGGCGGCCGCGTGGCGACGACGGCCCTCACTCGGCTTGCGACCACCACTACAAGCAAAGGAGTGGACGAGCACCTACCCCTGTGGACGGGTGAGCGGCGCAGCCACCGTGGACGCGGCCTCGCGAGGCAACGGGTGCAAGACCCCGCGTCGTCAGGGCGCAAGACCCCCGCCGATGAGGAACGGTGCAAGACCGAACCCCGTCGCAAAGGGCGGCCGCGTGTCGACGACGGCCCTCACTCGGCTCAGTACCACTCGCGATACCACTACGACATACGAGGGATGGGACGGGTACCTACCTCAAAGGGACGGGCTAAAGGCGCAGCGACCGCGAACGCGGCCTCGTGAGGCAACGGGCGCAAGACCCCGCGCCGTCGGGGTGCAAGACCCTCGCCCAGGAGGAACGGTGCAAGACCGAACCCCGTCGCAAAGGGCGGCCGCGTGGCGACGACGGTCCTCACTCGGCTCACTACCACACCCAGTGCAGCCACGACATATGGAAACGGGGCTACCTGCGCACCCACTTCGGGGCCAGATCGGCCACCCGACCTGCGGGACGCCGGCGGACGGGCGCCCTCGCGCTGGGCGCCGCGGCAAGTTTGCGCGCGACCCTGGGCGCCCACGGAACCTCTGGGCCCCCTGTCGGCGCCTGCCCCGCCTCCCCTGGGGGCCCGGCCGCGGCGGCGGCAGGGGCTGCCGCGGGGATCGCTGGGCCTGCCGGCTGCGCAGCTGCCGGGCCTGCCGGCGGCCCTGCAACCCCAGACCCCAGGCACAGCGGCCCCCTGGCAGTACATCTCGTGATGAACCAGTGTCCTCGGGAGTTTCACCCCACCGGGCACGTCTTCTACCACCTTACCACACTTGCGACACGTGCAATTGGCGGCTGTGGAGCCCCGGCAAACCTTTTCGTGAATCGAGCGCGTGCCCTCTGGCAACAATTTGCCGCACTTTCTACACTTGTCGTTTCCCAGGAGGATCACCCATTGCGCCGGAGGGCGCTGACATTTCTGGAAATGATTGCGCATCGGGCATGCTGGCATCACTTCCCGCACTTTTTACACGTATCGAGATTCTCCAGCGGCCCGTGCGCCTCTGGGGCAAACCCAGGCTGCGGTGCCGGGATCGACCATCTGCGCGAGTCCGCCCCGCTGCGACCCTCGGCGCCAGCGCCCGCGCACCGATCCGCCAATTCATTTCCATAGTCCCCTGAATGGCCGTACACATGCCGCCATGACACCACGCGCCGCTCCTCCGCCTGCCGCGCCAATTCCCTCACCTGCACCACCAGTTCCTCATTGGCCTTCGGTGCCCAGATGCCCTGAGACACGTTGGCCGCGCACTGCGAGTCATACAGGAGCGCCACTGGCGTGTCTCCAGCGTCCGGCGCCTCCCTCAGCAACCACATCATGGCCTCACCGATCGCCGACAGCTCCCCGGTGTTGTTCGCATTCTCTCTCGCGCCGATCCACATTGGGTCCCAAGCCTCCGTGGCCACGGGGGCGCGCAGCTGAAAGTCTGGCACGTTCCCCTCTACTGGGTCTCTGAACACCACCACCACCACCCAGCCCGCAACCTCGACCGCTCGGCCGGCCGCTTGTGCTACCTGCCCCGATCCGCCCGTGCACATCAGCCAACCCACTGGTGGCGGGAGGTCGGGCCCGTGACGCGCCTGCCAGGTGCCGGATTGGGCCAGGGAGCGTTGGGCCTGGCGCGCTTGCCTCGCTGGGCACGCGCGTGCCCGCGGTTCATCACGATTCGGGAAATATACGTAGCACTCGGGGCACCGATGCACTGAGCGCGCCGTGATCAGGTCCGGGTCGCAGACACCATGTTCCGCATCTTAATGAAAGCGCACTGAATTTGCCGTGGCAAAGGCAAGGCCACACGCAGGGCACGTCAGCAGGTTCGCGCCAGCAGCCGCCCTGCGCTTGGCCAAGGCGTAGCCTGCCCCGATAGGCCGGATCACTGGCACCGGCTGCCCTGGGGCCCACCGGACCAACATGCGTTCCTGATCGACCGAGAGGGCCAGGGCCCCCCCCCACCTTGGCCACCGCTCGTTTCCAGCCTTCTCCTGTCTTGAGCTAGTCGGAACCAGTCCAACTTTGACATTCCTGCATGATCCAAGACCCGATCAAACGACTTGACCTGCGCGGTGCCGACCCGTCTGCCGACTCGGCCCCACCCAGCCGAACACCACCTGCTTGGGTCGTCGGCGCACCGGCATGCGCGCGACATGTCCGAGCCAGGCGAAACTCTGACGTGCAATGGTGTCCACCATGGTCTCCCAACCGGCCGCGGCGTATAATTGCGCGTCGGTGACGTGGAACTCTTGGAGCCGAAACGAATCCATGCCCATCGCCTTGCGCACCGCGTAGTGCGCCACGCGCTGCACCGCCTGGACCTGGCGCTGGGTCCACGCCCGGGACCTGCAAAACGCCAGGACTGTCGGCACCGTAGCCGCTTTCATGATAGTCAGTCGCGCGTGGCGCTGCAACCCGCTACGGTCGCCACGTCCGAACTTACCCTCCGACTTCCATGCCTTGCACACCTCGCCGATATTGCACCGCGCCCCGCTGGTTCTGTGCGCCATGCCCCGGTCATGCTTGCCGCCCTCGGACACCATGCCCCCCTCGTGGCGGACACAGGGAACCTCGCCAGGTCCGCGGACGTCATACGGCATGCGGCCTCGGGCGCTAACTCGCAAGCGCTCACTCGCTCCTCCCAGCCCATGAGCGTCTGCACGAAGATCCCCTCCGCCCTGTGCACTTCCTCTACTTCGCCGCACAGGCCGGCGTCGTCGGCATACCCGAGGCCGCCGATGACTTCGCTGGACACACCAGGGCGCGTCGCGCCGTCATCCCTGAGGCGTTTCACCGTACTGCGTTTCACGGGGTCCTCATTAACGCGGAAGTGCCAGCGGATCCCGGCATCCACGTCCTGCTCCTGCGCCGCTTGCTCGCGACGTGCCCTAAAATCCTCCATCACCGCGTCGCGGTGAATGTGAAGAGCGGACGGGGAGGACGGACATCCCTCCCTCAGACCGCGATCGGGAAGCCATGGCAGCGACTGGCCGCCTGCAACGTGCGCAGCGCACTCCGTGCCTTCGCGCAGGGCCTGGCACACCTTGACCACCCGTGCATCGCAGCCCCGCCGTCGAAGCAGCGCCCAGAGTCCGCCCTTGCACACGCGCGGAAAAGCCTTTTCGATGTCGAAGAAACTGAATCGACATTCCTCACCCCCGCCGCGCTCGCCTCGGCAGATCCCCCCCGCCAAGCGGCGGCTGCCCTGCAGGGCGTCGTCTACGCCCCGACGGACACGAAAGCCACACTGCGGCTCGTCCAAGAGCCCTTCCGCCCATCTGCCCAGTCGCGCGGCCACGACCCGCGCCAGGAGCTTGGACCCCACACTAAGGAGCGTGATCCCCCGGCAGGTACTCTTGTCGCTCCGGCTGCCCTTCCCCTTCCACAAAGGCACGACCAACCCCAGCTTCCAGGCGGCCGGCCAGCCCCTGCCCTCTTCCCCGGGCGGAGCGTCTGCAGCACGACGCCACGTCTCTTTAACCACCCGGAACACCGCACGTTTGAAGCGCCTGCTGCAAAACTTCAAGGCTTCCACGGGGAACTCGACCACCCCAGGCTTCTTCCCGAGTTTCATCTGCCCGAAACAACGGTCAAGTTCCAGATCACTGGGCGCGCGGCCGAGCCATGCCGCTGGTCTCGGCGTCTTCTTGACGTTTTGCCACACCCGTTCGTGGACCGCCCCCCGCCCCTCTGACACCTGGCGAAAGTGCGTCGCCCAGGCCTGTCTCTCGGCCTCGAGATCGCCCACTGTCAGTCTGCCCCCGTCGCGCCGCCTGGCCTCGGGGCGGCCCCACAGACCTCTAAACAGCTCGCACGAGCGTGCCCGGTCTCCCCGGGCGGCCACCTCCGTGGCTAAGGCCCCTAGCTCCCCCCACGAGTCCCGCTCCCATTGCCGGAGACGCCTGCGCTTCGCCGCTCTTCGACTATCGGCGCGTTCTCTCTCAACCGCCTCTGTGCCAGGCCTCGGCCCCAACCGCGCGGCTCGGTCGTGGCCCCGCGCCTGGGCAATGTCCCCGTCGAGCGCCGCCACATCACCCTCTTTCCCGACTAGCCACGGGCAGCGCGCCCAGCGCGGAGCGCCCCCCAGTGCTTCGAGCCCCGACGCGTGCGAAAGCACCACTAGATCCCCCCAGCACGCCTCCTCGCCGGCATTGTCGACGGCTTCATACGTTAGACGGGCGAACTCCGCGCGTCGACGTTTCGTCTCCTCTGTTGTCCCGCGCAAGCTGGTCCAGGCAGGGCGCTCGGAGGCGCATGGGGCGCTCCGCGGACCGCCTCCAGTCTCGAGCCCCCCGACAAGTCAGCTCTACCGGCTCGTGGTCAATGCATTCACCCCAATTCCACGCGCCGGGGGGCCAGGTCGGGCGGCCTCTCACATGCAAGACCCGCGAGTCCGTTACGAACCACCGGTTTCTTCGCGGTACCAGAACATGGTCAATCATGCGTCGCGTACCACTTTTGGGGCGCTGCCAGGTCCAAGCCTCCTCATGTCCCCATAGAGCCCCAGTCACCACCAGCTGCCGTTCCACACAGAACAACATGAATCGGCGACTCACCTCAGCACCTTCTGCGTGGGCCGCGGGCCCGTCACTCTGTCGAATTATCCTTCCGCTGGGCGGAAAGCTGTAGCATTCATGTCCCCTCCGACTATCACGCGGCAGTCGCCCGGCGCCGCGGCCGTCAGTGTGCCTAAACGCTCCCAGAACCGCGCCCTCTCCTCCGCAGCCTCTGGCTCGGCCGTGGGAGCGCGTGCCGCGGACAGATACCACCCCTGGCGGCGGCCATTCCGGCCAAGGAACACCGAGATTCTGCGGCAACTCCGACCTGCGCGCACCCGGCCCGCCGACTACTGGACTGCCTCGGTCGCCCGCCAACGCCGGGCCCATTCCGCGTCCAGCGCAATCGCCATTTTGCCCTGTGTGACCACCGTCCAGGTTTGGCGGGCCGCGCGGTACTCATAGACCCCCGCCTGTGGGCACGCGACATCGCTCAGCAGGACGGCGTTCCACTTGCGAGTCTCGAACACGCGGAACAGGCATTCGCGCTTGACCCACGGGTCGGTACGAGAGCACCTCCCTCCGAAGCCCCGTACGTTCCAACAGCCCACCCTGACCCGCCGAGCCCCCGGCCGCGACGGACGGGCGACGGTGCGGCCCTTGGCCAACCGGGCGCGCAAGGAGATCCGCCCTCGCCGCGGCGTGGCCCCACTGTCGAGGGTCCTTTTGTGCAGCCGTCTGAATATGTATACCCCCCTTGAATCGCACAGCGTCCGAAAGGCGTCGTAGCCTACGCAGGCGGCGCCGGGTCTTCACGTGATGGCGACGCGCGCGCTTGGTGGAGACGCGAGGTGCCCCCCCCCCTTGCCTCCCGCACACGCAACCGCGCACGCAAACGCCGCGCCGACCCCCGTTGATCAGGCGGGAGCCAGCCTTACACTGCTCAGCGCACAAGGGAAGATCCGGAGACTTTAACCGCCCCTGCACGACGGGAACAGCGAGTCGCGCCCACCCGCCCCCAGCGGGACTTGAGCCGAAACGACAGCGTGGGGCAGCGAGCGCGCGATGCGATCCGCACGCCCAACACGCAACCACGCCGTCACAGAACGCGGGCGCAAAGGGGGCGACGCGGGGGGGGCCGGGCCGCGGCGAGCCCAGTCACCCCCAGCATCAGGGGTTGGCCGTCTCGAGCGGGGCGGGCGCACCTCGAAGACGCGAAACCCCAGACCGCCCCGGCCACTCGAGACATTGCCCTCGGCCCGGCCAGGCGGCTTGGGCGCTGACGGGCCTGACTGCGACGCACAAGACGGATCGCCTGCTCTCGTCCGACTCGGGGGTCTATGGACGCGCCGTCGTGGTTGGCTATGCCACACACGGCACCCCGGCACCGAGAGCGGGGGGCGCAGGCCGGTGAGGACTACGATCGCGCCACCAGGGTTGGACGCGTCACACCGCAACGTCAACCACCGTGCGGCATACAAACCAAGGCGCCGGGCAGATCCCGAGCCCCCCGCCTCTGGGCCCCCTCGCCCCGAGCTCGACGCCAAATGAGCCACCCATGACCCATCGCACATCATCAGCAATCACAATCACAAGACACCCCACTCCCCCTCCCCCGCCCCTTCCAAATCCCCAGACAATCCGCCGCCCAGCGCCGACGCCACATGACAGGCATTCTCGTTCCGCCGGCAGTGGTCTCTGGGAGCGCAGCACGGAGGATACGTCTCGCCAGCGGTTCCGTGGGGTGCATACGTCTCGCCAGCACCTCGGGAGCCTCGGGCGGTGGTCTCTGGGAGCGCAGCACGGAGAGAGGGGGTCGGATCGCCATGCATCTGAGCTCACACGCCTTCACGCTCTCACGCCTTACCCTCCCTCTCCGCCCGCACCACACATCATCACGCATCATCGCACACCCACCCCCTTCCTTTTTCTACATCCCACTCGATACGGCGCGGTGTGGATGTAAGACGGCCCCGTGTGCAATGAGGCCCTGGGAACCGCAAGGCAAGCGAGCACCCCCCGGAAGACGCGTCGGCCAGAGGGGCAAGCCGGAGAGGGAGAGAAGGGGGCGAGAGGGGAGGGGGGAGGGAAGAGGGAAGGAGGGGGGGGGAGGCAGGGGAGAGGAAGGAAGGAGGGGAGGGGTGGCCGCTACGTCCTCCCCCCATGCCCAGATCCTCCACCTGAATATGTCGTAGTCCCGCCATGCCAGGCGACCGTTGACGATCTCGGCCGCCATCTCCTTCTGCCTCTCCCCAACGTCGCTGGGCGCCAGCACCTGGAAACCGAGGTCACCCGTCGCAGTATCGGAGCCAGCGGACTGGTTATGGGACAGCTCGTTGGAGACGCAGCACGCCACGGTCTGCGCCCAGCCCGCCGCAGGAATCTCGGAGGTCGCCTCGAGGTCGCTCGGATGGTCGGCGAACTTCCGGCCGGCGGACGGCACCCTGACGGCGCGTCGGTGATCTCTGCGGCGACGTAGCTCGTCGTCGCCAGTGTGGACGCACGTCCGCCGTTCATCGCAGTCGAGCGCGGGCGGGCGGAGTTCTCCGCGCCGCCGCCAGCGGCGAGGCCAGCGGGACCCCGGCCAACCCGGCCCCGCACCCCCAGCTCACTTTCGAGGGCGCGCAATGGAGAGCCCGCGCGGCGCGCCCAATCGCCCGCCGCAGCGGGCGGCGGCGGCCCCGGCGACGCGCTCGGCCCAGCGAGCGGATAGCGCGTCGCTCCGCCTCGCGGCGCAGGAGGCCAGGAAGAGATCGGGACGCTGGCGCGCCCCCAGCCTCGCTGGACGCCAGCGCCTCGAAGCCGAAGTCGCCCGCTGCGGCGGCAGAGCCAGCGGACAGGTCCTGGGCAGCTCGCCGCAGACGCCGCACGCCACGATCTGCGCCCAGCCCGCCGCGGGAGCCCGGCCGCCCTGGGCGGGCCCGCAGGCCCCAGAGGAGGCGGCAGCCGCCACCGCCACACCAGCGGCGGCCGCAGCGGCGGCAGCGGCGGCCGCCGCGGCGGCGTCGGCCGCGGCGGGCCCCAGCGCGGCCGCACAAACCACGGCCGCGGCCGCTCGGGCCGAGCTGCCGGCGGCGGCGGCGGCGGCGGCCACCGCGCCGGCGGCGGCCAGCGGCAGCAGCGGCAGCGGCGACGGGCGGAAGCCGCGACAGGCCCGCTCGGCGGCGGCGGCCGCCGCAGCCGCGGCAGCGCCAGCCGCAGCGGTGGCGGCAGCCGAAGCGGGCGGCGGCGGCAGCCGCCGCCGAGTCCAGGGCGGCCGCGCGCGCGACGGCGGCCGCAGCACCTACCGAGCAGCCGCCAGCCACGGCGGCGGCAGCGGCAGCGCCGACCGAGGCAGCCGCGGCAGCGGCGGCGGGCGAGGCCGACACGCGGCGCGCGGCCACCGCGCCGCAGGCGCCACCTGCGGCGCCAGGGGCGACAGCAGGGCCCGCAGCGACGGCAGCAGCGCAAGCGCCGGCGGCAGCGGCTGCAGGGCAAGCCCCGGCAGGGCTGGCGGGGCCGGCAGGCGGCGCCAGCCCCAGGGGCGGCGCGCCGCACTAGGCGGCCGCGCGCCGCTGGCGGCGGCGGCGGGCCGACCACGACACCGCCGCGCAGCGACTGCGGCGGCGCCGGCCAGCGGGCGTAGCCACCGCGCGCCCAGCCCAGCACGGCACCGGAGGCGGCGGGGGCTGGGACGGAGCCCCCCACCCCAACTACCCCCCAGGCAGGCGAGCTGGAGGCAGGGGCCGCCCCCGGCCCGGCGAGCGGCTGGCTCGGCACTTGAGCCAGAGCGGCCCTGAGCCAGCGGGACACACACACACACACACACATACCCCCGACCTCGACTGCCATCACCGCTACGACCAGCCACCAACGGCGCCGCGCGCCGCCCGCCGCCCCGCACCGCGCGCGGCATGCAGCGACGTGCGCGGCGCGAGCCGCGCCGCGCACGCGGACAAAAGGATGCCCACGAGATGCGCCCAGCCAACCAAGCGCCCTGGCTTTGTAGCTTCTGGCTGCCCGGGGAAGCGCCCTGGCACGGACTTTCGGGCTGCCCGGGGAAGCGCCCTGGCACGTACCTTCTGGCTGCCCAGGGAAGCGCTCTGGCAGGTGCATTCTGGCTGCCCAGGGAAGCACTCTGGAAGAGTACTCTTCAATGCCTGCAGCCCTTTCTTCTCCTGAGTACGAATCACTCGGCCCGCAGCCAACGCACGACCATGGTTGAGCACCTAACGACGAACCGGTAGGTTAAGACGAACAGCGGATGTCGGCTAGTGTTTCCGACCGACCTTGCTCCCAACGATGACCACAAACTTCGTGATCCGAATGGACCAAGACCCAAGCATCTCCCGCGAACGCACTCACGGCATCTTCCAGAAATCGAACATCACCAGGCGAAGACGACACGAACTGGATCGACACGTCGTCGACAAGTGCCCTCGGGACAATGCGTGGAGATCGCGCCGAGACTTCTCAAGGCTCCAAACGCTAGAAGATCCAGCACGCCCACCGCATGGTTCCACCTTGCAAGAATGCCTTGACGCGAACAAAGTTTCACCGAGAGGCTGTCGAAGGCTCGAGGACGTCGCGGCTGCCTGCGCAGATCAGATCCACTAACACCCAAGGCAAACTCCCGGGGAAACGTGAAGCTTCTGTTTCCTTGGGCAGCTGTTCCGAAGCAACCATCTTGCAAAATTCGGCCATGTCTAGTAGCACGGAAATGAAGATATCTCCGACGAGCGCAGCTGTTTCAGTGGCCAGGTTGCGAGCTACAGCACAGTCACAGGAACGTCGACCACACCGAGTACCCGAAGACTCGCGGCAATCATTCTGCGCACGCCAGTCGAAGGTGGCGGGCCCAGGCACCATGCACCGAATTCGACGGAGCAGCGAAACGATGTGCAGATATGTCGGCGGTGCCCGGTGCGGAGCGAAACCCCCCCCGGTAATCTCTCCTGGGGGGGTTCGAGCTGGCGCCATTCCCGGCGCGAGCCTGCACGAAACCCCCCGGTAAACACGACCTTCTCTGGTAGGCTGCACGAAACCCCCCGGTAAGGACGCAACCCCTCCGTAAGCGGCGCGCTCCCAGCACGCGCGAAACCCAGCCCCGACGCGCGAATCTTACCAGGACGGGCCGGAACACGGCGGCGGCATTGCATCCCAGGGCCGTGCCGGAACACGGCGGCACTGTTCTTCTCTACGCGGCCGCGCGGTCGACCCCCCACAGCGGCTCTCGGGAGTTGCGCCGCAGCCTCTCGCATTGTGGCCACGAGCCACAATACGAGAGGCTGCGGCGGAACAAAGGCGAGCAGACGCGAATAGAGAACACAAGGCGAGCACACGCCACGCTTCGACAGGGAGCCACCCTTCCCAATCGCCCCCCTGCCCCCCCCCCCCAACCCACCCCCCACTCCCAACCCCCCACTCCCACAGGGGGGGGGGGGCCCAGGTAGACGCAGCGCGGCCTGCACGAACCCCCCCGGTAAAGCGGCAAGGGGGGGGTGTTCTAAGCCGCTGGCGGCACCCGGCGCGGGCTGCACGAAACCCCCCGGTAGTGCACGAAACCCCCCGGCAGTGCCGCGGGGGGGGGTCGTGCCACGGCGCACCGCCGACATATATATATATATATATATATATATATACATATATATATATACATATATATATTATACATATACATAAAATAAACAAAACAAAGTAGGCGAGCCCCGCCCTTGGGCTTGACAAGTCTAATCATGTCACGGCGCGCTCGCTCTCTGGGCCAAGCAAGGTGAAGCTCGCAAAAATAAAAAGGCTCAACTGGGGTTTGAAAAGCCAAGGGCACGTGCATCAAAGCTCCGGGAAGGGCCACCCTGCGCCAGGGACGACTCACTTGACGGAAGCGCGGACCAGGAAGCAGACGCATGCAGGTTCTAACGAGCAGCAGCCATGGACCAACCGCACCTCCTCCGTTCATGCTCTGCGCTGGCCCGCTGGCGAGGAGCATCTCGCGCCTGGGAATGCAAACCTCCAGGATGGCCTTGACCCTGGAGAACCCACGAGCTCTCGAAGCCCCTGACAGAGGAGCGCCACGAGCCCACTGCCTCCAAGCTCGGGCGGCAGCGATCTCCGCCCTGGAGATCGCCGCCTTGGCCGGGACATAGATGCCGGCGAGTGCGCCGGCACGACCAGGACGTGCCAGAACGGGGAAGCCGCGGAGCAAGATATCACGCGCATCCTGATCGACGCCGACCAAGGCCTTTCTGCAGCGCGCCACCTCGGGCATGAACCTCTAGAAATCTGGGGAAGGCAATGAGAATATTGCGCGATTGCAACGGCGACTGGGAACAGATGACACATATGTCCAGCATCATCTGAATCGGTCCACTGTTTCCGAGATGCTCGACCCATCCAAGAACTACCGCCCAATCGCATGCTTCGGCGCCCTTACAAGTTCGCCTCTTAGAGAGCCCAGACAAGTTTCCCCCACCGGACCTCCGACGGCCCACCAGGGCCAAAGCCGACCCCGGCCGAAGTCCTGACATAGCCCCATCAGGCAGCCAGATATCTCTCCACCCCCTTCGAGAACGAGGTCCCAGAAGTCCGCGACCTTTTCAGCAGATGCAACCAGCGGGGCCGCAACCTCCAGCGCGGCCTCCCAGGGGAACACCGAAGGCGTGGCAAGGAAGGCAGGAAAAGCCGCGGGGCCTAGGCGACGCGGGCACACGCGGGGCCCCCCCTTCCCAGCCTTCAGAACGCGCTGCGCTGGGAGGTGGGGAAAATTCGCGGCATCTTCACGCACGACAAAAGGGGATCTAAGCTTGGCGAAGCCAGCAGCTACCGATAGAGAAATCCATACAGGCGCCCGGCGAAGCCTGCTTGAACGTTGAAGCATCAGAGGCCAGCGCCATCCCACTGGCAGCAGCAAGCCAGTCGGACTGACTCAGGGCCTCCAGAACCACGTCGTAATCTGCGACAAGCACCTGCGGCAGCTGCAGCCCGTTGAGCACGGAGTGGACTCAATCGGCTCCAGACCAATTCGGCATTGCAAGTCAGAAACCATCGCCATCCTGAAGTAGCACGGAAAAACGGCACCACAAAGCACTAACGACGAACACGCGCCGTCACCAGACGTGCAGGGGCCAGCTCATGGCCCTCACGTCATAGCGGTGACCTGACCAAAATGCGAATGCGGCGCCAGGGCCGCCGCCCTCGTCCACAAGGCAGGACCCCCAAGCCCGCGCCAGCCTGCACAGCCAACTCGAGACTGCCTTTTCGCCGAACTTCTCGCGTGGAAGGCGACGCGCGCGGGCCAACGCAGCATGCGCCTGAGACTCCGCGAGAAAACCTGACCTGACAAGAACGGGAAGCGAATGTTCGAACGTTCGTTGCAGGTGTGGCATCACATGGGAACGTCAAAACTGGAACGCTTGTGCGAACAGGAGGGGACTGCGCGGTGCCCGAGTCAAGGATCCCTCGAAAATATACGACGCTCGCGCT